GATCCCATAGACTAACCATTGTATGATCCCAGACAAACCATTATATGATCCTATTGACCAACCATTGTATGGTCCCATAGATCAACCACTGTATAATCCCATATACATAGTATAAACCACTGCATGATCTCATAGATCAGCCACATAGGCAATATTTACACGTTACCTCAAAAGGAATAAATCCCATATTATACCACAATCACCAGTGAACACAGTGCATCACAATTCATCCTGTCTAGTACCAATACTCACCAGTTTTTTCTGTTGTCCTCAGAAAAACCATATCAGCTGGTACACGTTGATTCTAAATAAAACAAAAAGACATTACATTGACAAGTCATGCATGAACATGAACATACAGAGACATGATATTAAACTTGGAAATAAATATGAAGAGACCCCTTACCTTGCCAATTATAATAATATCCGACACTTTGATGTCAGAGCTTGGGATTTTTATTATGCCTGTCTTTGTTAGTTTACTAAAAAGCTGACTATTGACTTCCCGGTCCCGTCGGTATCGACGGAAATCATCTACAGCCTCTCTGCACATGGTGACGAAAATTACGAAACCCTAAAAAATGAACAAAATCCATGTTTTAATAGTACAGATTGAGGGGATCAAAATCAAACCAGCAATTTCTGGACCAGTATCCTTGGAGATCCAAGGAGCTATCTCGTCTCCTGTGGAGCTACGGGATTTGACTAATGAGCTTTTAATGAGGTCACCCAATAAAGAGTAACTGCCAGAAATCTGTGTTTTAAAATTAAATTAAATTAAAAGAAATTGGTTCAAATTCATGGAGCCGATCACATCTTGTCAAGGATTTCCCAGTTCATGAACATGTCTTGCTACTATAATTATATTCACACAGTTTGAACTTCTGACCTAGATTTATCAAAGATGCATACCGGTAGTTCTATTTTATCGGCAACATACAAGTTATTTCAGTGCAATCTACTACCGTTAAAATCCTATTAAAAACTGCGGTTTATATTACAATGTATCAAATAAAAAATTGGGATCAACAGCTCAAGTTTGGGGTGCGGTTTCTATTACGTACATATTGCAATCACTAAATGGGCGTGGTCATTTTTTCCCACATCACTTGCACAAAACAAACAATACACCGTACAATCTTTCGAATATAAGCGTAACTCCAATTTAGATGTCAGGGAAGAGCGATAAGCGTCACGTCACACAAAAACTGTTCACATGAAAAAAATACTCAGTATATTTAATGTAATATGCATTTATTTTTTTAATTTTCTTCGCAATGGAAAGTATATTCTGACTGGAGTTTTAAACAAGCAGCCTGTCGGCTGAGATAGCTCCGCTGTTAGCAATGCACATGGCAATTAAAGAACAGAAGATATCATTAGAAAATGAACAAATCTGAGAGAGGTCCACATGTAGTACCTATATGTATAATATATCAAAGCAATTGGACTTGCGGTTTTCAACAAGAAGTCGAAAATATCACTTTTTACCAAAAATTACAAAAATATTCATCAAAATTAGAGAATTAAAGATATCATTATGAAATGAACAAATCTGAGAGAGGTCCACATGTAGTACCTATATATGTAATATCAAAGCAATTGGACTTGCGGTTTTCAACAAGAAGTCGAAAATATCACTTTTTACCAAAAATTACAAAAATATTCACCGAAATTAGAGAATTAA